GTCTTCAAGGTAAATAATTTCTATATAGGCAGGCTGACTTGGCTTCCATCAAAATGGCAGTCAGTAATTTTCCAAAGGGTGTGGCGACAAAAAAGAGAGGGAAAGGAAGAAAAAATTACCAGAATTGGCGGAAGAGACTAAAACGGATCGACAATGCAGAAGGTTAATAATAATTGAATTAAATTTGGGTTGTTATAAACGTCAATATTTTTTTCTACACAAACCCTTATTTGAATAATTGTTAAAATTGTATTGTTGCTTCTAACACATCTAGCGAATAACGTAACTCCACGAAAAGGTCCTTCAGACGTGGTTTATGAACTAAAACAGTTGCCATTAATTACGCCAACCAACTTGAAATAATGGAGCCGGAGAAAGGCTAATCACGAAGTATTCCAATTAGCGAGGTTTGATTTTGATGAAAAGACTTTAACAGACCGAACTTGGTGGGACTGTGCAACAAAAAGCGGTATCTGCTTAACGTGTATAGAAATGATAAGGGCAATTTACAGATTGGTGGGATTTTGAAGGTACGTTTTCCACTTTCCAAGGATTATCCACCACAATTTGTTATTTGAAAGTTAGTGTGGCTTCTCGATGGTATAATTAGTCAAGGCGCTTATTTTCCTTATTCATAACAGTTTATAATTAATTGGCAAGCCCAATTATTCGTTATATATTGCTACTAATGAGCACTCTAACGTATACGAGAGTTAATGATTATTTATTGGAGCGCTGCGATGGAATTACGTTCAGTTCGTGTTTAATATTGGAAACTTTCAAGTGGAAAAAATCAAGACTGAAACGTAACATCTGGTACAAAAATCGCGCCACATTACCTAACTTTTAAAATGATAGCTTCAAAAAAGGGCTTGAACTTCTTGCGCTGCAAAAGATTGAACGTGACGACATGTAGATTATTAATGGCTCGGTTTCATACAAAACTTGTACCTAACACTAATCTGACATGTTGACGTATTCGCTTTGCCATTATACGTATGGGGTAGCTTTTAAGAAAACGAACCACGTTAATCTCCACCTCACTTTAGTTTTAAGCTTCAATATAAATAACTTTGGGAAAATTAAAGGGGAAGTAGTATGCGTCACGATAAAGCGACCCCGTGTTGGTTTCTAATCTTTATTTAAATCCGTTCACTTTCTCTAAGGATTTTGCGTGTATAGGATAGGTACCTGATATTTGGTTTTTCATGGCAGCAATTCTAAATGAAAATTTAATTAACGATGGTAATACAAATTCATTTACTCGATGGACTAAATAAAAACATATTAAAGCACTTAATAACGCTTAATAAAACTTTGCTACCCTAATTGGTTATTGAAAATGTGCGTTAGTTATTTCGGAATTAAAATTATTGTACACGATGCGGTGATTTTTTTTCAATGTGAATATTTAAAAGGATTCCAATCAAATAACTTCATATGATATGAGCAAAAGTGAAAAAACATAAAATCTGGATTCAAGTAACGAAATGATCGAAACAAATGACGAGTAAACAACCAAAACAAAATATCTTGGAATCACAAAACATGTCAACGTTATTGCCGATGACCGAAAATACAAAGCAAACCCAGAAGAAAAAGAGAGCCAGGTCGAAAGGACACAGCAAGATATTGGATATAATACAAAATCCTACCTTACCTTCTTTGTATTCATTCTTAGAAAATCAAGTAGTTGTTAGTTAATGGGGTGCTGCCCATTTCCTGAACTGACTTTGATCCCTTAAAAGTACCGCTTGAGTTATGTAACATCTGGGTTGCCACATTCCGACGTATGTTTAAACGTAAGGGTGTGTTTGTAAATATGCATCACTTTATTGTTGGCATTGGCACTGAGCGTAACTTAATTAAACGGTATTAAGTATACTCTGCATTTTATTATTAATCCAATAGGTTATGCGCCCAGAACGTTTGTAATAATTGTTTTAATCCGTACTACTTTATAGTGAAATCAAAGTTTGTAAAGCTAATAGCGGAACAAAGTGTTGTGTTAAGTGATGGAGGAATCTAGAGTAGTTACGAAAAGAAATATCAAACCTTTCAATGGCGAATATTACGCGATTTGGAAATTCCGCATCAAATCGTTGATTGCGGAAGAGGACGCGTTAAAAGTGATAGAGGGTGATCCACCGGAAGTATTACCTCCCCGCTGGAAGCAATTAGAACGAAGAGCGAAAGGTTACATAATCGAATATTTAAGTGATTCAATGCTCGGGTTAGTTACGGAAGGAATTACCGCAAAACAAATCTTGGAGAAATTGGACTCGATATATGAGAGAAAAAGTCTAGCTACACAATTATCAGTGCAGAAGAAATTATTAAGCTTCAAATATAATGAAGAAAAACGATTAATGGATCATTTTCGCGAGTTCGATGAGATGATGGTGGAACTTCACTCAGCTGGAGGCAAATTAGAAGAAATGTCCAAAGTCGCGCATTTACTACTCACCCTTCCACCATGCTACGACCCACTTGTAACCGCCATACAGACATTATCGGAAGAAAATTTAAATCTATCTCTAGTGAAAACAAAGCTGTTGGACTACGAAACTAAATTACAATTAAATAAGTGCGAGACCGGTACAAAAGTTTTACAAGCGGCAAATAAATCACGGCCCCGCAACTTCAAGGGTAAACCGCATTTCTTACAAAAACCTCAATCAACTTTTACTTCGCGCAAGGGCTACCACTACTACAAAAATAAAAATATGCATAATCGATCAAAACCTTCAAATTGTGAACATTGTGGACGAAGAAACCATATTAAAAAGGAGTGCCATTATTACAGGAGGATGATAAGTCAACACAAGGATCACACCGCGCAAACAACGCAAATTCTCCGCGGCAAAAGCCCGCCTTTTGCATTCATGCTTCGATCGAAATCCTTTGAAACCAGCGCAGCGACGAACGGTAACATTACTTTCATTTTGGATTCGGGAGCAACGGATCACATCGTGAATCAGCTTCACTATTTCACCCATTCGGAAGAGCTATCGACGCCGGTAGAAATATCAGTTGCAAAGCAGGATTTGTCAATTAAAGCCACTCATCGCGGTAGTATCGCAATTACTACCAATATGGGCGAAACCGGGATCCTAAAAGATGTTCTCTTCTCCGCCGAAGTACCGTTCAATCTCCTATCAGTACGTCGTATGCAAGTAGCTGGATTGACCACCATATTCGGAGGAAATGGAAGCATCTCCATTAAGGAGGGTGGTAAGACCATTATAAAAGGTGAGGTTGTAAACGGTTTAATTAGTATAAGTCTCTCAATAAATAAATATGGTCACCAACTAAATGTTTCGAAAAAGTTTCAAAATGATTACAAACTTTGGCATGAACGACTAGGGCACATAAGCAAAAATAAATTTTTGAAAATTAAACGTCAGGGTTATAATATTGACTTGAACAATATACGCCCTACTGAAAACTTATGCGAAGCTTGTATATACGGCAAACAAGCACGACTACCTTTTGCTAAAGCCAAAGATAAAACGCATATAAAAAGACCATTATTTATTGTACATACCGATGTATGCGGACCTATTACCCCGCAAACACTCAATAACAAAAATTACTTTTTAACGTTTATTGATTCATTTACTCATTACACAGTAACATATTTACTACGATCCAAATCTGAACTATTCGAATCTTTCAAAGGTTATATAGGAAAAAGTGAGGCGCATTTCAATTTAAAAATCGCAAATTTATATTGCGATAATGGCCGTGAATATCTTTCAAATGAAATGAAGGCTTTTTGCGTAACAAAAGGTATTTCGGATCATTTGACTGTTCCATATACTCCCCAACAAAATTCGGTTGCGGAACGTATGAACAGGACGTTAGTAGAAAAAGCTCGCGCAATGATACACGGCGCAGAGCTAAGTAAATGCTTTTGGGGTGAAGCATGCAACATATTTAACAAATTTAACTCCCACTAAAGAAATAGCCAGTACATTAACACCGTATGTACTGTGGCATAACAAAAAGCCCAGATTTAACCACTTAAAAATATTTGGTTCTACCGTATATGTGCACACTAAAACCAGCAAACCCAAGTTTGATAAAAAATCATTCAAAGGTATTCTGGTAGGTTACGAACCTAGTGGTTATAAAGTGTTTAATGTCGCGAAACTGGTCAATTCATCACAGCACGTGATGTAATGGTTGACGAATTAGAGTTCAAAACATCGAGACCATCCTTAAAGGATCTTGATGAAAATGGCCACGCCGAAATATCACGTGAAGTTATAAAAACTGATAATATTTATAAATCAGTATCTGAAAATGAGAAAAACTCATTAAATAACTTAAGTGATAATACAACAGGCAAAGCTCATGAAACTCTAAATAAACCTGTGGAATTATTTAAACAGGGTGTAGGTACTACTACACATGAAAACGATCAGGTAAGGCGAAGCGATAGGCTTAAAGGCAAACCGCCAATTTCTTATACTGAAAATTACGTTTTAAGTTTTTTTTTTTTAAGGAAAATCGCACGACACTCTCCAACAACCAATCAAAAACTTTATTCGAGCATTATTACCATGGCAACGGAAAGATTTTCCCGGAAATTTTTTCTAGCTGCTAACCCTGCCTAAAATTAATAAGTGGAAATTTTTTTTGACGTTTAGGGATTAAATGTCAAGGTACGTTTTGTGAAACGAAAGGAATCTGTAGGAACCGGTAGGAGTATTTACGTCCCATGTCTCCATCATTCTGGATCATTCTTCTTTAATAAGAGCTGTTGAACTCATTTTTCTTTCAGCAGGATCGGCTTGTAACTTCCGGTGGCATGCGTCCCGCGCGGAACTATAGTTCATTCACCCAACAGAAATAGTTAAGCCACTCCTACAAAATTTGGGCCAATGTAAGCAGCAACCAGTTTTACAACCACAAAATTATAAAAAGCGGAAATTTTGAAAAATCAAATTGAAATGTCACTTGCTCAAGACTAATTATGGCGCTATCTCTCTGAACATAACTCGTGGCAAAGAGTAAAACCTGCAAACTGTTAAATACATGTAAATATGCAACATAAAAACACTGTTTATATTGCGAAAAGTACAAAAAAGTATTATTACAGCAGCACAAAGTTTTGAAATTACAAGTGCACTTGAATATAAACAAAGGTACATAACAATTTAAATCCTGTATCGCTTCACTCGGATTCGGACTCCGTTGATGTCGAGTCATCTCTCACATGAATTACTAATGGCTCCCCTACGATGTCCATTAAAATGTCAATTTGCCACATTTTTTCCTCTTCACTTTGAGCATGGCGAATTGCATTCTTCCAATTTTCAGCAGTAACATGTTCCACTGCTTGTTGAAATAGTGGACGTGTAACACTGCCAAAACTTTACTCAGGGTAGGTGGTTTGAAAGAAATGAAGCAAACGTCGAAGAATACTTTTAGTTCCGGAATCAATATTGTCCAAAATTGCTCGTGGTCGATAATATTTTTTAGGTAAATGAAGTTCGTGTACCTCTGTATACTCCCGAAGAATCTTGTAGACACTCGGAATGCTTACACCTAAATTACACAATAATAAGTAAAAATGAATTACCTGCTGCTTTAGCCGTAAACTCAACTTTATCCGTTTTAGATACCTCCGGGTTGTCTTCCGCATATGCCTTGAAGATATTTAAAATGCCAGTTTTGTCTTCAACTGAAAAGTGCTTGGCAGAACGTTTTTTCGGTGGAGAGAAAGCAGCACCGGCGACATTCATGTTTGCGTACAACTTTTCTTGATCGCGAATAATATAACCCTAAAAACAGGCATGTAAAAATCGTGTATAAAATTTTATAATTACTCACCTGACTATCTTTAGAATACACCGACGAGTCTTTATAAAGACTATTTTGTGTGAATAAAGGAGATTAATGGCAAATTGACGCAAGTAAAGATGTAAAAACGTAAAAACCGGCAGAAACGCAATAGGCAAGATGACAGATGACAGATTACCCAATTCGGCCAATTCGCTTTGCAAGTGTGATTGTGGCTTCAAAAATTACACCAATAACAATGCCGTATTCAAATGTGGCGGTAATTGTTGAGGAGGGGCTTAACTATTTCTGTTGGGTGAACGAACTTTAGCTTCACTGGACTCCAAATCAGTAAAGGGGTCGAATTTGATGTTGAAGTCTTTGTAATACTTTTCTTGCAAGTGTCTGATGAATTCCACATAACTTTCACCACGCCGTCCTTATAAGATTCACCATTCATCTTTCTCATGTTGAAGTCCCAATCTTTCAATATTTCACCCAATTTCTCCTTGGTTGTTGACTCATCCAGCTTGTACTTCTTTTCTTCGCAAAAGCTCGAAAACTACCTCCATACCAAGCATTTAGTCCGCTTCGTATTGGCCGGAATGGTATGGTCTATTGCTTCGTCTATCTTTTGAAATGATTCAGTACCAAAACGTGACATCTCTGAATTTTTCTGATTTAACTACTTTGTTTATACACAGGTTTCCATGGATTTTTTCCAACATCAACTAGATAATTTAAAGCACAAAATAAAATTGGAATCAATACAATATAGAGCTTTGTTGCGGTGTCGTTGCGATTTTCTTACCGAATCTACACTCGTGCATTGATTCTTCCGCGAAATTTTGTATTCGTGCTGTCCAACAACGTAATCGGATTAATACGTTGTTGGACTGCACTCAAAAAAATTTCCGGAAAGAATCAATGCACTTGTGAGATTACTAGTGATTGTTTTATGCTAGCACAAACCCTTAACGTAAAAATTCCCAATACTTCTCAGGAAGTTAATGCAAGCGCAGATAAAGTAAAATGGCAGCAGGCCATTGATGATGAAATAAAGTCGCTTTTAGCAAATAATACGTGGTCACTGGTTCCTATACCTCATGATAAAAATATTGTTGATTGTAAGTGGGTATTTTCAATAAAAAATGACATTTTCGGTAACCCCACGAGGTATAAGACACGATTAGTAGCTCGTGGTTTCTCACAGAAATACTTATCAGATTATAATGAAACTTTTGCACCAGTCGCCCGCAGATTTATTTTGGCTTTTGCGAATCAATATAATTTATTAATTCACCATATGGATGTAAAGACAGCTTTCCTTCACGGCATTTTTAAGGAAGAAATTTATATGCGAGTACCAGAAGGCTTAAATATTGAAAACAGTCAAACAACAGCCTGTAAATTAAATAAGTCAATTTATGGACTAAAACAATCTGCTAGGTGCTGGTTTGAACGCTTTGATCAAGCTCTAAAAAACCATAACTTTGTTAGTTCTTCAGCCGATCGGTATTTATATTTCCTAAACAAAGGCCATGTTCTTTTATACGTAGATTCATGCATCAATTCTCTATGATTGATTTAAACGAAATAAAGCTATTTTTAGGAATCCAAATTGAAAGACGTGATAACGAAATTTCACTACACCAGCAGGCTTATTTAAAAACAGTTCTTGACCATTTTAATATGAATAATTGTAAACCTGTTAGTACACCACTTCCTATAAAACTTAATCACGAAGGCCTAAACAGTGACGAAAAGATAGAGGCTCCTTGTAGAAATTTGTTAGGTTGCCTTATGTACACAATGTTATGTACTCGTCCAGATCTATGTACACCAACAAACCTTTTAAGTAGATATCAAAATAAAAATAATAAAGAACTCTGGCAATGCTTAAAAAGGATTCTACGTTATATCAAAGGTACAATCAATCTCAAGTTAGTTTTTAAAAGAAGTGATACGGATCAATTATTAATTGGTTACGTAGATGCCGATTGGGGTAGCAACGATCTTAATCGTAAAAGTATCACAGGGTATTTGTTTAAAGTTTTTGAAAATTCATTGTTGTGTTAGAATATCAAACGACAGCATTCAGTCGCTGTATCATCCACTGAGGCTGAATACATGGCATTATATGAAGCAATAAAGGAAGCGGTTTGGCTCAAGTCCTTATTAAATAGCGTTCTTATAAAATGCGAAAAACCAATCACAATCTTTGAGGATAATAACGGTTGCATTGCAATTGCAAATAATCCCACTTCGCATAAACGCTCAAAGCACATTGATATCAGATACCATTACTCGAGAGAGCAAGTACATAGTAATCGTAAAATATGTTCCGACAGATCAACAACTGGCAGACGCGTTCACGAAGATTCTACCTGCACCCAAACTTCAAGAAGTTATATCCAAGATTGGGCTACAAAATGTTAATGAGTGAATCAGCTTTTGTAAATTGTATTATATGTGTGTATATATTAATTGTAATCATAATGATCTGTTTAGGTTTTCATAAGGGGTTTCCCTAAACCTTGCAACAAATGTTGGATCATAATTTTATTTTCCCCTGTAATCAGTTTTTAATATGCTCAGTCAATGCTGTCTACTAACGTAGGTAACAGTATTATACTTTCATATACCTATGTATAATAATAATGTACTTATATGTTTAAGTTAATTTATTGTTTTCTAAGATTAGCGAGTAGTTTTTGAGGTGGAGTATTGGATATAATACAAAATCCTACCTACCTTCTTTGTATTGATTCTTAGAAAATCAAGTAGTTGTTAGTTAATGGGGTGCGGCCCATTTCCTGAACTGACTACTCCAGTATTTACCTTACGAATTAGGAAAACTGCAGGAAAACCTAATTCGGAGTAGCCGGCAGAATGCTCGAAACTGGTTCAAGGTAAATTCCCATCTATGCCACCTCAACCCATGTTCGTACACCCGACCTCTCTACCATTGAACCACAAAGTCGGTATAATGTATCGATTTCGTGGAACGGTTTCCGAAGATGATGACTTCAGTTTTTAGCCGCCACGAAAGCAGCTCGGTGATTGCCGCTTGTACTCTGATAGATGGTTCCAGTTCTATAGTGTGGTCCTTTATTGACATGATGTGGTGGAAACTTTCCTACAAATCTAAATTTACTCAAATTTTGTAATTACCAAGTCTATACTACGACCGACTCTCCAAATGAAGAGCTACCGTTACACGTTCCGGACATTTAGAGCTTATTACAGCTTTTAAAGTAAGTCAGTCCGAAAAGATACGACTTTTAAATAAAAATCTGTGCAGTTCCGCAAATCTATTGGAAAGACTGCTGAAGATACAAAGCAGAGGGCGCTTTTCATTATAAGCGTACGAAGAATGTTTGTATTGAAAAAGAATCCAGGGGTAGGCTTACCAATTTATCTAAAAAATATGCGTGACCTACTACTATCAAGTCATTTTCATACTTTTTACGTAAAAACATGCAAGTAGACTGTTGTGGGATTTATTCATCCCAAAGCGCTCCCCTGTTTAGGTATGTTATATCAGAGGCCTTGTAAGACGATTTAACATTTAATTAACAAACTTCCGAAGTCTGTTGTAATGTGATTCGTGAATAAATAAAGAGGCTACGCGATAATAAATAACTTCAAGTTGATTATAAAATATTCCCTTTGTAGCTACAGAAAGTTATTAACTACAACCTTGATGTGCATAGTACGTCAAAGCGTAATTAAGACCATTCGTATAATGTCGTTGTTGAAATTGAGAGGTGTCCCATTCCGTTTGTGGTTTATTTGATGAATAGTTTGGCGAGGGTCCTCTGTCTAGGTCTTTAATAGCCTGTACGCAACATAAAGGATATTAAATCATGTTTCTCTCCACAAAAGTTTCACTTAACGCCTTCTAAAGGGAAACCTCCGAGGACCTAACACACATTTTATGAACCAATCGCACGTTTTAATCTAAGGCAATGAATTACCTACCTTTTGTTGCGAAATGAGACGTTGACAAAATTTCCAACGGCGACGAGATGAAAACGAGCAACTTCTAAAAAGACTAATGCCTTTTAGTAAATCACAAAGTTCGTCTGCTTCTCGAAAATCAAAACTCGAACGGCTAATACGTCTTAAACTCGTAAAAGAGCGGAAAACATGTCTTAAACACACATGAAAGGATTCATAGGTATAAGGGATGAGGGTTATTTTTCTACCACTTATGATATGGAAAGGAAGACGCGCGTTCTGCCTCTGCATTCTTTAGAGCCTAACCGAGGCTTGACTCGATAAATATAAATATAAAACGTCATATTCATACAAAATAAAGATGGATTACAAATTTATTCCTTAAAATTAAACAATTAAAAAAAATATCGGGATATGTATAGCTGTTGAAGTGTACTTTCAACCAGGCTTGATGGACAAAGGAGAAATACTAATAAGTTAAAAAGTAATCGTAAACGATTTACATAAAGCGCATTTCCACTTGCATTCATTTCCCATTTTTAAGATGCAACTTCTGTTAAAATCGTAAAAATCCGGCCACAAATATGAAAGATAGCGTTGCACATGGGCAATCCATTTTTGACGTGCTACTTCAATTTCAGTTTATGAGAAGAAATTCATTTCAATGCTTTTCTAAATAAGAAAGTTGGAACTGCGCATGCGCAAACCTAAATTTTAAAACTAATGTTAGATTTTCCTTTGTTCCAAGCGC